TAATGGGTACAAGTTACTCCTGGGGAGATTCCGATTGTACACAGGAAGAAAATTTTTCACAATGAGAACAATCAGCCATTGGAATAATCACCCCAGGGAAGTGGTGGATTCCCCAACATTGGACACTTTTAAGATTCAGCTAGACAGGGTGCTGGACCATCTTGCATAGACCGTACTTTTGCCAAGGAAGTTTGGACCAGATGATCCTTGAGGTCCCTTCCAAGCTGGTATTCTATGATTCTATGATTGAAATTCCCAAGTGATGCTTCCAGACTGTTCATAATTCTAATTTGAGGTTGGACCTCAAATAATAAACATAGGAGGAAGAGCTGACCTTCCAAAATGAAGACTATATTAGCTATTCAGCTTTGAAAAGTGTTCATTCCATGTTTTATTAATTAAAAAAAAATCAAAACGGCAAGTGAAGAACAATGTATTTCTTTGTTTCTGCAGAAAGAGAAATTCCGTATCTATGATGAATACTGCAGTAACCACGAGAAGGCACAGAAAGTTCTGCTTGACCTGAACAAAATAAGAACAGTGCGGACGTTTCTTTTGGTAAATAAACTTTGAACTGGTGTTCTAACTTAATATTTTTTGACTGGGCAGTGAATTGTTAGCACTGTCACCTCCACCATGCAACAACTACAAGCACACCTGCAAGCGGTTAGTAGACAGTTTCAGCTGAGGTGGTGTTTCCAGGGGAAGGGGTTGTGTACATCGTATTTTCACTGCTGCACTTGGATCTATGCGTAATACAGCATTAGGCAGTGTGCCTTGAACTTGCTGGCCAAGAGACAAGAGTGTAAATCCAGCCGTGCCTGTAGAAAGAAAGAAGAATAGGATAAGATATATGAGGAGGGGTAGGGAAAGAAATTAGAGAAAGGAAGCTGAATGACTTGTCAGAACTTCTGAAGAGAAGGTCCACATTCTGGTACTGTAGCCATGGCTGTGCCAGGCAGAAGAACGTTTTGTTATGGATCATGGAGTAGCCATCCTGATCTTAGATGCTGACTTAATCTGAGGTCAAAAGAAACAGCTACACAATTAGTCTTTCACTTTACAAGACAAATAAAGAGAGGTTTTAAAATGTTAAGTATGACCGTCCTCATGATTTTCCCACAGCAAAACCAGTTTCCATGTAAGTACTGAGTTTCCTAGTAGTTGACATTAGTTGTTATAAGAAGGATTTGGTATGGAATGATTTTTGTGTTTTCCTTCCTGGTGTCCTGTGATAACAAGGTCAGCTTTGAAATGTGGGGCCTACTATATTGGAGCTTAAATGCCTGAGAAGGTGCCCTCAGATATGAGATCAAATTTCAGAGTGATTAGATCTGATTACTACATTTTAGGACTGGAGAGCAAATGAGACTATCAACACAGCATCACAGATATGGTTAAAAAAGAAAAGATGATGCCATCACAAGTTTTATTTAATTTCTTTAATTATTTTTAGCATGCAGTAGGCTTTCACTGCTGCTGTTGACAGAGTTCTTGGTGAAGTTGTCCTGGTGCAGCTCACTACATTTTTGAAAGATACTGGATCTGACTCCCTTCCTAGCTGCGTTTACTTACAGCCAAGTTAATGAGCAGTATGGGAATTTCCTTATTGTAGGGGGTACTGGGTGACATGAAGCTCTATCTGCCTTTTTGCTAGGAGTCTCTTATTCAGCAGTGTTCCATTCATAGTTAAAAACAGCTTCAAAGTTCTCCTATTTTTCCTCAGTGGTTGACACAGTATCCCTCACCTTGCTCCAGACTTGAGGAGCTGCACACGCATGGTTCTTGTATTGAGAGCAGCATGTCCGGACTCAAGAAGAAGGGGTGAATGCTGACTACAGAGGCAAAAAGCAAAATATTCCAGCGAAAGATTGCAAAGAGCTTCTTTTGTGAGAAAGGAAGCCAAGTGTGCAGTTGCGGCAGCTCATGATGTGTCAGTGTCATGTACTCCTGCACGCATGCACAGGGCTTCCACATCTGCTTTGGGTTCCTTGTAGATTCAGGACATGTCTGTAGAGTAAGTGGCAGCAGTCTAACCTAGAGAATGGGAGGTCTGACTGTTTGATTTGAAAGTACAATTGAGGTCACCTAGCCAGATCAAACAGTTCAGGTCATTAGAGATGTGATTATCTATAAATAGTTGGGAGCTGAAACCAAACTTTTGCGCCTTTAAGGATAGAGACAGTCATTATATAAAACTGTAGTCTTCATTGCCATTATCTTGCTTGGTCTTTATCAGTAAAGCTTTTTTGTTGGCAGGGTAAGTGAGATCCTTTAGGATAAAGGATCCTTTAGGATAAGACAGAAGCTGGTTAACCATGAGTACAAAGCAGAGATTTAAGGATGGGTTTAGTGATCCCCCTAGCAGCACTGGTTATGGGGTATGTGCGTTGTGAGTTACGTGCTGAGCGGAGTGGCCACCCAGTTGTGTAGCCTCTGTTCCATCAACAATGCGTCTGCATCGAGATTTGTGGCCTGCGTCAACATACCATCTGGCTGTATTAAACTACTTTTGTTTAGTGTTCTCAGTTTAGACATCTTGCTCTTTGAAGCTGTAGATTATCTCATACCATTGCATCACAATTCCTTCTGATCTCTCCATAAAATAATTTCCATCATTACTTTAGGTCTTTATGTACTTACACTTTAATTCCAGCAATTTCAAATATTTGTTGTGATGTCCCTTGCAGACTTCGTTATCTCAAATAGCCCTTATTCTTTTCTCTCTCTCTCTCAGCTGTTTTTTTCATGGATGCTTCCACCCAGTATCTCATGTAGTCTCTGCTTCCATAGTTGGATGTCTTGTCAAAACTCACATTTAGCCCATGACTAAGGATATTTTATTCATTGCACATTGTGTTTAAATATAGAAGCATGTAAACAGAAGACTTTTGTGTGCGTGTGTATTAGGATGGCCATATTCAAGCTTTTCAAAGCATCTTTGATGCTACTTACTGTTGCGAACATGCCTTTTGGAACCAACAGCACCTATAGTGGTCACCCTGAATTAATTTTATTTTTGTTCGTTGAAGCATGAAAGCGTATTTTTAGCATTTTATTTACTGTATTTTATTTTTGAACTTAAAAAAAGGCCACTCTTAATCAGACTGGATGAAGAGGATACCTGGGGGAGATGCCTGCATAACACCATCGCAGCTTCCTTGTCATGTGTGATAGTCAATGTACCTGCCTATGCATGTGTTCAAGCCTGTGCTTTTGATGCTCTTGCAAACCTCCCTCATCACATATTTAACATATGCATACATAATTTATATATAGCTTAGCTGATATTGCCGTGTGCATAAGCCCTTGTCTTTATTTCTGATAATTTTCTTGGGATTTTTTAATAATTTCTGAAACTGTTCACACTCTAGAATTGCATGCTCCTTGGAGGACGCAAGAACACAGATGTACCATTGGAGGGATATCTAGTAACGCCAATACAGAGAATATGCAAGTATCCCCTTCTTTTGAAGGTACTTACAAGATTTTTATCTAGGACTTTATACTTCTATATAAAACTGGTTGCTAAGCATATTTCCAAACTGCAGGAACAATCTCTCTACACAGTGAATAATCTCTTTATTAGATACTGGACCCAGACTTGCTCTCATTAAATCCAGTGGCAAGTCTTCTGACATCAGTATTAAAAGGACTGAGGAGTTTGGCTGGGTCAAAATGATTAGCTCCCTTCTGCATCTAGTCGTAAGGTTGCCTCTCCATTGTTGAACGGAAGTGAGCCAATTAAGGGAGTTTAATGAGACTGATTTCAGCTGGGTTTGACCATGTCCTTGCTTAAAACGCTTGGGATAGCAGAGTTTGTTAGTGACATGCTTTGATGATTCTAATTTACCATCACCAAACTGTAAATGAAAAATATTTATGAAAATTATTTGTAAGAAAAACTGTAGAGTAACACTAAGATGCTGTAGGTGGTTCTATGCACATTTATATGTTTATTCTTATCTTACTGTTAAAACTTCATGAAAAATGTTAAATGTGCTGATAAACATTAGATATTCAAAGCTCTGAGTTACTAAAATTTTTGGCATGTTAGGAAATAAAATGATACCATCATCAGGAAAGTAAATATTTAAAATGAATTTATGCTTAACAAATTAAGGTTTAATATTGTTTCTTGTTTCAAACCGTGAGAGAAAAGCCAGAGCAGATTCAGCTCTAGAAACTAATTGAAACCTGAATATTGGACGGTATTTTTCACAATGCATGTGTGAGTTTAGATCTGAAACGTTGCCAATTATGAGGTGTATGCATGTCATTCCACTGACATAAAAACCTAAAAGTAAACATGTTAAAATAAAGGTTTTTGAAACAAGTTAAGGAATATAATTGCAGTGAGGTTTGAGTCATCGCAGAGATCTGTGGTTTTACACTTCCCTTGGCCTAATTTTAAATTATTTTTGTCTTCTATTTTTTGAATGAAAGATCCACAGACAAAACAAGGGAAAATGACTAATGAGTTACTTCAGGGATACGTTGAAATTAATATGTTTATGTTAAATTTAAATACAGGGTGTGATGGCAGCAGGGTTAGGGCTCCAGGAGGAACGTGCCCACGCCTCAATCAGGGTATGCACTGAAGGCTGTCCATAGTCGGTCCAGCTGTAAACGGGTAGTTGGTAGTTTGAGATGGGAAATCTCATATGAATACTGGCAACTCTACTTTTGTTTTTTACTATGGCTGCCGTTACCAGTAACCATCTGAAATCAGTGAGTCACCTAAGCTATTGTTCAGTGCTCTGGTGTATTGCACTAGATTGAACAATACTGTGGAGCTAAAGGAACATGGTTTTTGCCCTGAGTTGCAGGAAAGGCAGGTGTTAATTTTGACGTCAGTAAACTAACATTTTTAAGCAGAATTGTTATCCCTGCTAATGAGCAGTTCTATCCTGTGGAATATAAAAAATGAAAAAAAACCCCAAAAAACCAAAGCTCAACATGGGGAAACATTGTTGGGGGGAGAAAGTAGCTGAAATGCAAACTTTCTGCTAAGTAGCGATTATTTTTATTGTTAGTAATTTATTTCTCTGAGTTTTAGTGTCCTACTAGGACACAATGCTGGAGGGTTTATTACTTTTCCACTTAGTAGAAGAGAAGTCTGGCTACTTTTTGATTTTGTATCCTAGGCAATTTAAGCCTCCTGTAATGTACACTTAGAGATCAAAGACAGGTTTCTTTTTTTCTTTTTTTTTTTAAATGTTTAAATAGGAGTTACTGAAGCGGACTCCAAGGAAGCACAGTGACTATGCGGCACTAATGGAAGCCCTCCAGGCCATGAAAGCTGTCTGTTCCAACATAAATGAGGCCAAGAGACAAATGGAAAAATTAGAGTTTTTGGAAGAATGGCAGTCTCATGTTGAAGGATGGGAGGTACTGTCATTAAGATTTGTCGCTTTCTATATTGCGAAGGGAGTAACAGTTTTCAACAAGCATGTATTGCACTGTTTTTGTGATCCTGAGGCACTGTCAACTCCTCAGTTCTGTGAAATCACAGCTTTTATTTGGGATCTACTCTGTAAATTAAGTGTTGTCCATGACTGAGCACCACTGTATAAAATAGCAGACTTCAGGATTTTGTGGAAGGCCTGCTGACTGGAAAAGGCAGCAAGAAAAATGTATTTTTTGCACGTTAGTCTGATAGACTGAGAACTGATCTTTCAGCTATATAGTGGGAAATGACCTTTGTACAGCGCAGAGAAAAGAAAAGGTTAGGGACACTGATGGGACACTGAATCAGAGAAAGCTTTGAGATAGACCTGCCTGAACTTTAACTGACAGAGTTCCCCAAGAAGTCTGACAACTAAAAATTAGAATATTGACTAGAAGAGTCAACTTTTAAGTAGACATTCATAGTAGTAGATAAAACAGCAGAAACAAAAAATAGTTTCTCCACAGCTGTGTTCCCTCCCTACGTCTCCTGCTGTTACCACACCTGCTGTTCTTTGAACCTGCTCTGCCTAAGGATGCGCTCTGCTTCTGCAGCAGTGGATTCAGTCTCCCCCTGCCTTCCAGAAGGGTTTGGCAGAACAAGCCACTATCGGAAAGGAGCATAAACATTAGACTGAACAAAGAACCCCCCAAACACTGCCCATGGCACCGCAAAATTATTTCCTGTCTGCTCCACGTGAAATCTCCTGATCTGTGGACTTACGCAAACCTTTGGTTTGTTGTTAATTGAGTAGTGTGGGAAGATTTGATTCATTCTAAACGTGGATTAAGCAACTAATTTTACTTTAATCAAAATTCTTCATGTTTCTTCAGGGCATTGTGGGATTTGAAATGTATCACTTAAGGTATTTTTCCTTTTCCTGTGTAGCAGCATTTTCAAGAACTGCTCTTCCATTTCTGTAATTGGGGTAGGTATAATTTAAAGCAGAGAAATCCTCTTATGCCAGAGTTCAGGGCACTGTAGTCTTTTGGTACAGGACTGTCACTGTAACACATTCCACAAAAATTCACTGTGCCTCAAGAGAAGGAACTTTAGCAAGTACAAAAGCTATATAATTGCTGGTCTGTATTCAGACAAACCTTTCTGCATTTAGTTGTAATCCTCAATCTCAAATTAAAAAAAAAAGCCATTAAAGACAAATGACAGAGAATATGTACTCATGCCATGATATTGTTTGTAGGATCTTGAAAAAGAAAGGACTACTTAGATAAAGTAAACCTCTAAATGTAACTGAGAGGAGGTCTAGTTGACCTAACACTTTCCGAAAGAAGCAATGTTGTTTAGACTTGGTGAAAATAAGTTTCTTTTTGTGATTAGCTTGAACTTGCTGTCATCAGCAGTAACTTCGAAAGATTAGTGTAGGTGAATATTAAAATACATTAGACATGCTTGTGCAATAACTTCATGATAGAAGCAATAGCATGCTAAGTGCTTACATTGCTGAATATTTTGTGGCAAGGAAATTTGTTGAATAATCCTTATTGCCTATTACTGACTTTACTCCTTCTATTATTTTCAACTTTTCAATTAAGTTTTCCACTGCACCACAGTGATTAAAATTCTTCTACTTGCTTTCAGTGCCTGAGTCTTATAGATATTTGTCAAATCCTTCTTAATGAACGCACTCAAGTATAAAGTTACACTATTATTAACTCAATGCATTATTAGTCATATAAGTTGGTTAAGAACTGACTGTTCTCAAACCTCTAACCCTGAAAAGGGAATCCACTTTCCTGCACTAAGTTTCTTCTGAATCCTTAGTAAAACATAAAGTAGTAAATATGTTTGCTGTTGGAAATATATTAATGAACAAAGATAACAATAAGGAAAGGTAACAATATGGACAGAAGCATGCAAAACATAGATTTATTCTCTCTCTGCTCAGAATGTATTCTCTGAACCGTAACATAGTAATTTCCTTCCAACCTTGGATGTTTTTTTTTGGTTGGTTTCACCCCCCCCGATTTAATTTTAGGATTTCACTTGTGCTTGAACTCTGAAATAGTGCCATTGTCTTAAAATAGTATGTTTTCAGTAGAATTATGTGGTGATCATTGTAGTTTAGCTGATCAGGTTTGATGCTATCATAGGGCAACCACAGGGGGCCTAATCTGGCAAAATTGCCCTGATCTTAATATGCGCATCCTTTTCAAACATAATATACGGTTAGTCCTTGAAATGGTAAGAGCTCCAGAGCATGTATAAGAGCTAACAGTATTTTGAATGATTCCCAACAACAACTACAAAAAATCTCTGAATGCAATGTATGAGAGTGGATTTAATTAAATAAACATCTGGTTTTCTGCATTGCCTAAAAATAAAGAGGCAAACTTGTTGGAGGTTTCCTTCCAGAAGGAAATGCTTAGCACATTGCTTGGCCCCAACTAGAAGGAAAGGGAAAAAAATAAAGACTATTTTTAGAATCTGATCAAAGCATGACTTAAATTCCTATACATAAGTGTCATAAGATGAAGCTTGTGTTTATTATGATAAAAATACAGATTCATGGAAAAATGAAACATCTGTTTCAAGAAAGAAAATTTTGAGTATAATGGCTTTCTCACTTAATCTCCTAAGTGGTTAAATTTATTGGCCTGAATTCAGAACTTGTGTAGGTGGCTGTCTCAGCTGGAGAATGGCTCAGCAGCTGAAGGAATCTGTCAGTAAAATTTGCGTGGATGTTACAGTGACAGAAGAAAAAATAAAATCGTTGCATTTGTTGTAAGCTGGAAACCGAACAACCCAGTCTGAGTCACAGGCCAACTTAGTGACAATGCATGGGCTATTCTGTTCCTTTCCATTCCGCCATATCATCAAGTAGTTTTTTAATAGAGAATTCTCTTTTAAACTCCAGAATTTTTAGCCCTTTCCCCTATTTTATTTCTGTTTCCTATGCCCATGTGCAAGTACTGAGGAGTAAGTTAATATCTGCTATTTCTGACCTTTATCACTGCTAGCGTGATGGCCCCTGAATCAGTATGGTCAGACCTCCAGGTTTGACTGAAATTTGCCTGGAATATGTGGATAAGTAGCTTTTGTAACAAATAAAACCAACAAATGCTGCTTTTGATCTCAAGGTAATGAAGGACCTTTTTTAATGTCAAAGGTGGGTATTTAATGACTTAAGGATGAGGGGCATATTGTTTTACATTTCTTGCATATAGTCTCTCTCCTTCCTTTACATTTCTTGCATATAGTCTCTCTCCTATATATATACGTATATGCGCATATAGTGCGTTTTAAATGTATGTATTTTGTGATACCATCATGGTAGCCTACATTTCAGAGCTCTTGCCTTAGTGGACTGATAGGCGACTGACTGGCAGTCAGGAGTTGTTAGGAGCCAGTTTTGTCTAAATAGCCTGCAAGCTCTTAGGTCTTACGGGCTTTTAATTTCCACACCAGCTATCCTGGAAAACCACACAGCCCTCAGCCCCAGTGCAACCCACAGGAGAGGGCTGCTCTACAGTTAGATGTTTTGAGTCTTCAGTGGCTCAGTAGGAAAGATGGAGGAAAAACTAGTCTAGATTCACAGTATAAGCCTGCTTTGGAAAGCAAAAACTTGCTTTGCAGATTTTTCCAATTGAATCCTTTACATGTTTTGTTGAAAGATTATTAGAACAGGTATGTTTCTACAGTACATGGCATTTTCAAGTTGACATATTGCAAAAATGCTGGTTTCACTGAAAATACCCCATCAGCTCTAATTGCAGGTGCTTTAAATGTATAGAAACATGAATTGTAGCATAGTAGTAGTGATTTTACATTTAGGTTGAGCAACTATATGATCTTCCCTTGCAAGCACTGAGTATAAATGTGCGTCTTCATGAAAACTTTAAAATAGCAAATTACTTTTCAGATTCAAATTGCTCATATTTGAGATTTCCCAGGTAGTTTCAATTCAAACATTTAATGAAAACATGTTTGTGTTAGAAGGTTTTGGTAATATTTGTTCCAAAAGTATTGCTTGTAGGTAGCATAGTTCAGTTTTAGCTGTGCAGCAGACAGCCTCTCCTGCTTCTGGGACAAGGGTGACACCTCATCCATTACTGCAGCCTCGAACCTTCCCCCATGAGAGGGATAGCTTGGAGTTGGATAAATGAATTATCCTGCTGGGCTGGATATCAACTGTAGCTTGGTGTTCCTGCTGCAAACCCATGTGGAGGTTCAAGGTATAGCTACATCCTTCATGAAAACGTTCTTATAGTTGTCAGTCCTCTTTTGAATTGTGTGGTGGATATGGCAGTGCTAGTGTGCTCTCTGCTTTATCCTTCTTTGGGTGTGTTTTTCATCCCTAAGGGATGTGGTGAAGTGGAGCGCTCACCCCAGGTGTTGAGACAGCAGTACTTTTCACATAATATGCCCTTCCTCTTTTGTCCCTTTCAGCTCCATGCCCACCCAGATTCTAGGAACAGGCTGACCTTAACAGTGTTACATAGGCAAGGGGGTGGCGGGGGATTTTTCTGCACTGGCAGTGTTATGTAGGACAGTCAGATGCGACTTCTGATCCTGTTATCTTATTCCCTTGGACTTCAGCAAATAAAACAGCAATAACAAAATTCACTGACCTGTGGCCACACCATCATGGGTTGTGATCTTGTCAAAAGGTATCTGATAAGTGAAGTTAACACTGTTCAGTATTTGGACGGGAGGTCTCCAAGGGAAAAAAATCTCTCTAGAATGTTTTTTTTTTTTCATCATCTAGCAGTTTATATTAGAAAAGGAGGAAAATGAAGAGGAAAACAATAGCAAAGGTAGTAATGTGTTAGAGATAATACTCGCTGTCATATTGCAGCGTTGAACTTGAATCATGAGTGAGGAAAATCCTGATAATTCAGGTGGCCTGAATTATATGCATTTAAAATATGTATAAAATATGGTATTTTATGACATGATGCTGGCACAGTAGCAGATCTTGCTAGGACTGTTGGGAAAAGGTATTTTTCTACAGTGAAATTGAAATTTTTCAATAAAAAGAGACAAAATGTTTTCATAAAACCCTTTCTATGAAAAAATGCACCCTTTTGTAGAAAGCTGAAACTGCTGAAACAGTTTTGAAGCCTTAAGCTGAAATTTTTTTGGCTTCCCTACAAAAAATTACAATTTTCTAGCAAAGCCGAAGTTTTCTGTAAAAACAAACCAAAAACCTTTAAAAAATACCCAGCTTTTAAAGTGCAAATTATAAGTAAGTACCGTTCCAGCAAATTTTAAAAGCAGCATAAGGTATTGGTTACTCTTTTTAATACACAAAAGCAATGAAATAGAATGACCTGCTATTCTGTAGTTGTGGTCAGCAAGCATTAAGTGCAGCCTTAATTTATGCTTAATTTATATTACTGAGTGTGCTTTTAAGGTGTTTCAGTGTTTGGTTTCAAATAAAACTGTAAAATAAGTACGCCAGCTTCTGGTGCTTCTTCTGTCTTAGGAAGTATGGTGCAGTGGCTATAGATGACATTCATTTTTGGCTCATTTGATCCTAAATGGAAACAAGAGTGGTTAGTTAATACTGATACTGAAGCTGCTTTATTTAGAGACCTGAATTGTGTTCCAGTGTGATGGTTGTGCAATCTCTCTTATCATCTCTGTAAACAGGCTGTGTTCTCCTTAGAACAGCATCTGAGCTATTGCTCAATATTCAGTGCTGTGACGTACAAAGGATGAACGGTAAGATGAAGAGCTGAGAGCAGAACCCATGACTGCTTCTTGGCTCTTAATTGAATGCATTTTTCTTTGGGCTACTGTGGTTAGATCAAGAAGAGGAAGTAACTACAGCTATTGCAGGCATAAGTCATTCAGAACATGTGTAGATGAAAGCAAAGTCCTGGCTTTTGCAGGTTTTCCAAGCTGACTGTTGAGTGCCTCAAGATAGGAAACTCCTCGAGCCATGGGTGTGTGCTCAGTGCAGCCAGCACGCATAATTATCAATAGGATCGCATGGCTGGATGCATATAGCACATGGTCAGGAGCTCTGTCCCACAGGAGCATGGATTTTCGGAATAGCAAAATGCACATCTGAATTCAAGGCAGGCTTCCTGGAGAGGTAAATTTCTTTATAAGGCATAGAAATGCCATGACTTTTTCATAGAAATATTTTGGGGAAAATGTTACCCTTTGTTAAAGTTGCTTCTTTTTCATTAACCTTTATGAAGATGCCTGCCTTCTTTTCGCATGAAAGAAGGATCTGCCTTGAAGCAAAAATGAGGCATGGGGAGTTTCATCCCCAACATTTTAAGCCTAGCAAAATTCTGATGTCTTCAGAGTATGTTAAGGGGAAGTATACTAGACAGTCTTGTTGAACATGCCACTATTAGCTTTGCCTGAATATTAAATCTTGCTTTTTTTGATTCTGATTTTGTGTTTAGCTTAATTTAGTGTAGAATTATATACTCTTAATGATGTTCAAGTTCCAGGTTGCTTCAGCTTCCAAGTTCATCTTGGCATAGATTATGTCTTGTAAAGCCCCATTTTCAGACATATCTGACTAAATAGTAAAGTTACTGAGGATAAGAGTTATTGTATAAAGTTGGCCTGATTTTTCACGAGAGGTCTCATGCACAATGTAATATAATTTGGAAACTTTAGCGATTAAACTTCATCCATTCAAAAAAGCCACAAACCCTCCCCCCCAGTTAATGGCAATACTAAATGAATACAAAGCTGGTGTTAAGCATCATTAAGTAAACATTAGAAATTATTATTTAATTACAATGTAATAAATTACCATGAGTTTTATTCTTGGTGTTTTCAGAGAATCATTATGGTTGTGTGTTTGTGTAAGAAACTTTTCCTTAATTGGTGCAGAATCCTTCAATTCTCACAGAATAAAAAATAATCTCTTTCCAATTGATTTCAGGGGTCCAACATCACAGACACGTGCACAGAGATGCTGCGAAGTGGACTACTACTGAAAATTTCAGCAGGAAATATCCAAGAGAGGATATTTTTTCTTTTTGATAACCTTTTGGTCTACTGCAAAAAAAAGCACCGGTAAATTATTAATTTATACTTTGAAAAATAATTTATATTTTTCTCACAGTAGAGCGAATCCTCTGTATGCTGTTTCATAAGAATATTTGAACAACACCAAAGTGTTTTCTGCAGTTAATTGCAATATAAAAGTCAGCATTTTTAGAGGAAGTATATTTCTCACACTCCAGAGAGAAGTGTATTTTGTAGGAATGCAGAATCCAAACGTTGAAGTGCAGGGAGAAGGAATCTGTTTTGTCAGTCTTCCACAACAGGTTATATGTGATGGCCTCACTCTCTTCTAGGAAGGGTAAACAGACTGAATTTTTAGCTCAAACAAATCAGTATTGCAGCTTATGCTGTAAAATTAGTCTCTACAGATTCAAGAGTTTCAAGCCTTGTATTTCTAATCAGGGAAAACAGCTAGAAAGCTGCTGCGTGCAGCATTGCGAGGAGCAATTCCTTAGTTCAGCAACAAGCTTCTGCAGTTAATGGTCGTCCAGTGCTCTTATGCTTCTGAGAAATAATGGTTCTCCTACATGCAGGCATCCCTTTTGAAACTGCTTGAGTTTGTCTCTTTGATCCAGAAACTGTTTTTGAGTAGCCACTGAATACATATTACTGGTTAGATCCTTGATAGATTCCTAGATATGTGATAGACCTTGAGTATGCTCTCTAATAGCACTGTGAATACTATTATCTTTGCCTCTGCCTCTGCACACTTGTGGATGGTGTCAGAGGAAACTCCACCATTGACCTCAGTGTCCAGTAAAGGAAACTGTCTGCAGCTGCTGAAACTGTTGCTTCATAAATCCAGGTTCTATTGTCATCACCACAGCCGTGTCCATCAGATCAGTGTGACTGCTGTAAGATTTTCAAGGGTAGTTCCAGATTTGATAGCCAACTTTCATCCTGTTTTTCCAACCGTCTTTTACCAGTGCCCTGGATTGTCTGTAGCATCCGAGTGAAAGATGTCTTGCCTGTAATATCCATTTGTTTTGATCAGTGCTCTGGCTTGGCAGTGGTCATGTGTCAGTTAATGGATGGATCCTGGCCCAGCTGCTTTTGAAGGCTGTGCATGAGAGGATGGTCAAGTGCAGTGTTAACGGCAAAATGTATGCTTGGTGCATCTGGGTGAAGGTTGTTGGACATGCAGTCCAGCGTGTGGGAGCACACAAGCACCATCAACTTGAGGATGAAAAGGCTGATCAGGCAGGCTGATGCCGTAATGATTTCCTCCTCCCCCATTGTTTTAGCTGGGAAATAGTGGCTGCTTATCATCCTCTTCTTGCTACATGTTCTTAGTGGGGGCAGATGAAAGGGAAGGAGATATGAGGGTTGGATAATAGAGACCAGAACTCCTATATATGTGTACCACAATATCCATGTGTTGCGTAGTCTAGTTATAACCTCAGATGTATCTAAACAGCTACAACCAGCAAAGTAAATGGAAATTTATGCATAAAATGCATGAATCTGAAACCAATTTTTAAGGGATGCTTTAAAATTTTATTAGCAACCCTTGTTGTCTGCTATTGTATGTAGTTTATATATGGTATTTTTCACATGAGTTATTGCAGAGGACTCGTAATTCCAAAGTATTATTTTAAATATTTTAAAAATTATATTTCCAAATAAGTTTATACTCATATTCATGATGTCATACATAAGAGCAGGTGGCTAGGGGATGGATATCCCTTTTCTCTCCTCCTGTGCTAATTATAGACTTGTGGTTAGATTCACTGTAGCACCTGTAGAGCTTCTTGCTGAACCAATATGTGGGGAAGATCGGACTCATCAGTATGTGGTATGGAAAGTAGAAAGTGGTAGTAGTGGAAAGTAGCCATGGAACCTATTGATCAAGAATGTCTTAGAAGAATTTCTCTAAATTGTAAAGCTGCTAAGCTTGTTCTGCAAAGACCTTACTGGAAATGCTGATTTTTCTAGTGGGTTACTACAGAAGAAGCTGCTGGCTAACCCTGAGGGAGATGTAAAAATCTTCTTCCCCAGTGAATATTGTTTCCTCCTATAGATTACTCCGTTAACAGTGAAGCATTTACATGTGAGAAGATAGGTAATTTATACTTGACTAGCTATAGTGAATCAATCCTTTGTTTTTAAGTTTCAACTCTTGCTTAGGTTGCAGAACTTTTGGAACAGTTGAGTATCAACCATTTTAAGAACCTTGTGAACCTTCAACACCTACCTAGTGTTGAATACTGAATTTATTTCAAGGATATCATTCTGCAACTGCTCAGTTTCATTTTTATGTAGACTGGTTCAATATAAACTCATGCTCTTTTCAAAATTTCTAATTACTGCTATATTTTGTTGTCTGGCAATTACAATTAAACTACTGATTACATAGTATCTTTTCACTTGTCCACCACTAAATTGCATATTTTTGTAGCCATATTCTAGCTAAAATGCACTATTGGATGAAAATCTCAAAACACATGAAAGGTCAATGATTTCTTTAGTTTTGAGCAATCGTGCCCTACATGTCATTGGCTGGTACCATGGTGACACCTCTGCAGACATGAGAATAACTCGATTTAGAACATAGTTCCAGGGTTTATGGTGGAAAATGAATTGATTATATGCCAGCAAGATACTTTGGGTATTGACTGGCAAGTAGGTAAAGAAAGTGTTGCTCACAGGAGGTTTGTATTTTGGAAATTTTACAAAAATTGTCCTATTTTTATGGTACGAGATATTTTATGTAATTTTTAAGCATCCTTTTGCTGCGGAGTTGTATAAATGTGTATTACTAAATTTGGGTTCATAGGTACAAAGGTCACTAGAGTTATTGTATTTACCTCACTTTGGAGAGAAAAAATGTGTGATACTGAACCTTTATGCTTGCTGCTGCTTTTTTTTTTTTTTTTTTAAGATACATTACCCAGTTTTTGAATAAGAAACTTACAGTATAGTAGAGTTACTCATTAGACAGTAATGATTGAGAGGCAGGTAATTTTCTGAAGATTAGTACCTCTCTGGAGTGAGTCAAGGTCAGAATTCAGAGGATCATTAATTCTCAGGAACTGACCTTTGTTTGATATACAGTATTAATTATCATTATAGCCCAAAATGGACAGAAAATCATCCCTGGCTTATCTGAGGTGGGAAAAGCTGCCTAGAACTGGGATTCTCAAAAAGCCTCGACTTCACTGGGAACAGAGTTATAGCAATGCAGAGTGCTTTGGAATATGTCACTGTGAAACTTCCCCAGAATTTCAGCAATTCTTAATTATAATTCTTGGTTAACCCTTATGTGAGGCGGAAAAAATGTCTTCATAGTTCTTCCATGCATAAATCCCAATTATGAGGCTAATGTGTGTAGGTCAAGATTTATATCCAAAGGTGTTCTTATTTCATTTTTTCAGTCATTCAACCCTTGTGTTGAATTTCTTGACTAGCATAAGGAGGCTTAAACCAGTTAGCATGAAAGATCCTGCCAATGCAGTATTTTGTCTTTGATGGCAGGCAGTGGCATATAAGTACCAAGGTGTTGGAACAGGGCATTTACAGAATGAGACTTTCCTGATAAACTCTCATATCAGCCAGCAATTTGCAGCTTACTGTTACGAGAGGTAGCATCTTTGCTTTAGCATCAGCAGTGTCCCATTCAGCAATGGTTTCCGCAGTTCAATTGCACATGTATAAATGGGTTGTGATTCTTACAGTAGCCTTTAAATGCTACATGTACAGGTAGCATTGCAGAAACATAGCAAAAGGTGGTGGATGACATGCTCCTCTGTTCTTTCTTCTGTCAGGCGGTTGAAGAACAGCAAAGCGTCTACAGATGGCCATCGTTACCTTTTTCGTGGCAGAATAAACACAGAAGTGATGGAAGTAGAGAATGTAGATGATGGAACAGGTGAGTATATTTGTGTTGCCACTTTTCAGGGTCTATCTGCTCATATCAAAACTCTGCTGCTGTGACACATCATTGCTTTCATACATTATTAGCCGGGCAGTTGTAGATGACTGTTTTACGCCAACATGAACAGAGTAATAAAATAAGGTGACATTGCTCAACTGAAATCATATATTTAACTTCACTTTACAGCATTCCAGCACTCCTAAATAGGTTATCCCTAGGTATGTGACATATTTGTAAAAGCAAATGGAAAAGTTACCTCTGTTGGAATGAAACCTCACCACTATAAATGCTGAAATTGTAACATAAGTGTTTAAGAAAAAAGGAAGTGGGTTTTTTTAATACCTTTAGGGATATAATCCATATGACTGCTTGAAATTTTCATGACATACATTAGAAAAGTGAAAACCCAAAGTATTTCTACAAATGGCATTTTTTCTTTTAGAAACTTGAGTTTAACCTTTGAACTTAACAATTATTATTTCCTTACAATTAATAAAGAAAACCTGAAACACTTTGGGCTTTTTAATATATAACTGAAAAAAATTATGGGAAACTTGCAGTGGCATTGCAAATATGTAGGTCTGGAGGAAATTTCTGTGAGTTATATGTTACTTCTCCTCATTTTAAAATAGCATTATGTTTGCCCTACATCTACTATGGATTCCAGGCATTTCTTAATGTAACTTCTTTCTAAAATTGAGCATTAATGACAAGGATTGTACAGCTTAAGTAAGCTTAGAATCATAGAATCATAGAATCATTGAGGTTGGAAAAGACCTCTAAGATCATTGAGTCCAACCATCGACCCAACACCACCACCCACTAAACCATGTCCCTAAGTGCCTCATCTACTCGTCTTTTAAATACCTCCAGGGATGGGGACTCAACCACTCCCCTGGGCAGCCTCTTCCAATGTTTAACCACTCCTTCAGTAAAGAAATTTTTCCTCACATCCAATCTAAACCTCCCCTGGCGCAACTTGAGGCCATTTCCTCTCGTCCTATCGCTTGTTACTTGGGAGAAGAGACCGACACCCACCTTGCTACAACCTCCTTTCAGGGAGTTGTAGAGAGCGATGAGGTCTCCCCTCAGCCTCCTTTTCTCCAGGCTAAACAACCCCAGTTCCCTCAGCCGCTCCTCATAAGACTTGTTCTCCAGACCCCTCACCAGCCTCGTTGCCCTTCTCTGGACACGCTCCAGCACCTCGACGTCCTTCTTGTAGTGAGGGGCCCAAAACTGAACACAGTATTCGAGGTGCGGCCTCACCAGTGCCGAGTACAGGGGCACGATCACTTCCCTACTCCTGCTGGCCACACTGTTTCTGATACAGGCCAGGATGCCATTGGCCTTCTTGGCCGCCTGGGCACACTGCCGCCTCATGTTCAGCCGGCTGTCAACCAGCACCCCCAGGTCCTTCTCTGCTGGGCAGCTTTCCAGCCACTCTTCCCCAAGCCTGTAGCATTGCATGGGGTTGTTGTGGCCGAAGTGCAGGACCCGGCACTTGGCCTTGTTGAACCTCATACAGTTGGCCTCGCTTCATAGAAGTCCTTCACAGAAGTTAAATATTTCTTAAAAAATTAAGTTTTTTTTTTTTTCTAATCTTTGAGTTCCTTGTTTTCAAAATAGTTCGCTCACCTCTTGTTCTACTGGGTAGACTTGGAGAACAGTTTGACTGTTATTCTTACTGCAACAAACTAGTTTATTGGAAGGCTGTTGTGTCTTTCCTCCATCTCTTCTTGAAAGACAAAAGTCTTTCAACCTTTTGTCATGGGTCGTGTTTTCTAAGTTTTTATTACTTTTTGTGTCCTTTGGAGTTTGAGGGTTTTTTTCAGTTTGTTTGCATCTTTTGTATTATGAGGTGTCCAGAGCTGAAACTTCTCTTGTGCCAGGTAGAACAGAATAATTACTGTAGTGCTGCATGTGGAATGCCTATTTTACTAATCCCAGGATTGTTTGGCTTTTCTGAGAGCATTATTTTTCAATTTTTTAGTTTGTGTTCCAGAATACCACGCCAGCTCCTTTTGTGCAGTACTGGTGCCTATCCCATTATATCTTATACTGTGTTAATGTCTGAGAACAGGTCCTAATAATTACTTTCTTTTCTATGCTGAATTTTATCTTACTATTTCCACAATTCATTAAGCATATTTGTTTATGCAAAAAAGATAGTTGAGTGTTTCAGTCTTTTATGTCACGTATTATTTGACTAACTTTCATTTATTTTCCTTCATCTTCCTTATACATGCTTTAGAAATAAAAGACAGTTTTCCTGTTTCCATGATGTCACTTTCTAAGACGGCATCTCTTTACTTATAACTCTTGGTGTTACTGTGGCCACAGAGGCTTATACCCACCATCTTCTTCCTGATGAATATTCCAAGAATTCTGTAACTTTTTTCTTTCACTGGTTCCGATCCCACATATTGCCACGCTTTTAGTGTTGGCTTTAGCAAATATTTCTTCCTTCCTCCTTCCATGACTCTCCTGTGTTTCTCAGATCTGTCCTACCTTTCTTCATTTGCTTGTTCTAGCTATCCAGTCTTTGATCTCTTTCACACTGTCCATTTTCCTTCCTGCCCGTTTGTTTTCTTCCTCAATGAATCTTCAAGTATAACTTGGCAAAGCACAAATCGTCTTCCTCTCTACTCCAGACACCACTAGTCTAATTTCCTCCAGCCTCAGGAAATTTTGCTACCGTCCCCATTTCCTATAGCCATGCACACAGTACTGGAGGCTATCATGCTTCCTTCTCACGTGCTCTCCTGAGCCATATCAAATCTTGTCACTTTCATATATGCAACATTTCTAAAATCCGTCCTCCTTTCCACACTTCTGAGATATCAGTTAATGGTTTGGTTATTTTCATTTCTTGATTATTCTTACCTGCTTTTTTTTCCATATCCCCACATTTCCCACCTTCTCCATTTCAGTTTGTCCAATATCCTAAAATAATTTTCTCTTGTAATTGCTGCTATTTCATTCCTCCTTTCTATGGTTCTCTTTGAAATATGGAAATGTCTGTGTTTATTTCCCTGGCCTGTGGCACCTTTCTGCCCTTTTCTTGCCTCCCCTTCCCCTTTTTTTAAAAAGAAACCAACCAAACCTGTTTTCCTTCCTTGTAGTCAGAAGTGTATTACCTCTTCTCACACTGTTACTTTTTCTTTCACTCAGATCACGATGCCCTTCTTTAACCTTACTCTTGTCTTTCTTTCTGTACTGTTCTCATTTGTTGCGCCCAGATGTCTTGTTTCTCATCCCCTGTAGTCATCCACGTTTGAACTGTAACCCAGTACTATTCTCCTGTGTTCTTTTTGTCTCATGTCATTCCCAAGTGCAGTAATCTGGTCATCTGAGCCTCATTCACATTAGCTTTGCATGTGCTTTTTTTGGTATTGTATTATTTTATTCTCCTTAATCATCTGTTACCTATCACTTTCTGGAATTCTTAATTTACAGTGCAAGCTCGGAGTGCAGAGTGCTTGTATTTTCATACCTATGCATGACTCCTTCTCACGTACTCTTCATGGGTCACATTACAGACATTAAAGACTTGAGTCTAGATGATACTTCCACAGTTCTTTACTGTAGATTTTGGGATCCTCTGCTCACTTGGTATAAGGAACCATAGGGCTCCAGGGAACAGGGTAACTCAGAGCATTTGCTCTCAGCGTTGATAGATGTAGGAATGTAGTCTTCGTTGTTTGTAAGTAGAAGCATAGAAATAGGAAAACAGATTCCCAGTGTGGTTTATTGTCATGCTAATGACATGCCTACAGAAATTAACAAAGCTTTTTCTGAAAAGCAATTTTTCTTTGATGAAATTAGGCCTTGGCTGAGCAGTACAGTTGGTGTAAGCTTTCTTTTTTGTTTCAGCATCATGAAGCACTCTGCCTTTTTTTGATTGCACTGATTAAAGTGGAATGCATATTACAGGGCAGGCTGTTTGTGTTCTTAAAACAATGTGGCTACACAACCACTTGCAAGTATTAGAAAGGTGGATATATTGTGATGGTATTGTTTTTTCTGTATTCGGTTTTTAAAATTCAATTTTGAGAGAAAAGTGTATTTCTAAAGGCATTCACTAGCCATTAAATGAATGTTATTTAGTTTATGAAGACAAGCACTTAAGACTTAGGAAATACCAGATTTATGGTTGCTTACACTATCTTAGTTCTGTCCCCTGTTGTCTTGAAATGAGGCATGAAATAGAAAAAACACTACGTGCTAATAGTAACCAGAGACTGCATCATAAAAGTATACAGAGGAGGGAGGGAATTGATATTATGCAGCGGTTATTTCCTTGATATTTCTGAGTATCGGTGCTCCTAAGAACTGAAAGTCTGAGAAACTTAGAAGTACTTCAATGCAGAGATTTCTGTTTGGTTTTTTTTAAGGGAAGAAACAAATTCTATTGTATATGGCTGTAACAAATTGCTTGTTATGCATCTCTCAAAGGTTTGAGTCTTGAATTTTGAACAATATATTACAGTTCAAATTACAAGCTTTAATGTATTACCAAGTATCATTAGAAGATGATGTCATCTTTCATCACCTTTTCTTAGGAAGTTGGAGACTTGATGATTTGTTAAACATGCTTGTTCAGACTTTCCATGGAGCAACCTGAAGTCTCATGCACTTCTTCCTTCTGTAACCATTATGTCAGGTTTGCAAATCATTTGTTTAGGCTGACTGGCAGCTGTGATTGCCTTGATGTGAAGAGTGTGCATGTATCCTGTGCAGCTGGCCAGTCAGAACTTGCATACCTCCTGGCTGGCCGGCCAGCACATCTGCAGCTCTTGACCAGATTTTGTCCAATAGCCAGTCCAAAAAAAGGTATGAGTTCATATGGGATGATGGCGGAATGCTGAAATGCTCTTCAGGAGACTATGGGCATGGGTGTATTGGGGAGAACAAATTGCTCACAGTAGCCTTGGAAGATTGTAGTCATGGGGAACACGGGGAGCAAAAGAGAAAGCAGGGGTGTTGCAGGTAAAGGCAGAGGTTGGAGTGAAGCTGGGCATCACAGGAATGGGTTACTATTGCAATATTGGGCGATAGCTACCCATTTTCCTCCACCTGAACTCATTGCCGTCTGTATACATTAGGCAGTCTTAGTACCTAGCTAGGTGATTGGGCTTTTCACAGAATTCAGTGGGTTTGTAGTGGCATGAGATAAATGTGGTCAAAGTGCCAGCTCTCCTGGCCCTGCAGTTACAGACCTTCAGATACCAAGGAAGCTGCATGTTTAAAATGTCATCTCTACATCGAGATATTCAAGTGGCTGGATGAGCCATTTTTTCTGAATTAAACTACTAAGTTGACACCAAATTTCTGTCCGAAGTGGAATGGGAGGATCTAAATCCATTTGTGAGTCTGAGCCAGAATTTTACAATTTTTTTGCCACAATTTTAACTGCTACGGATCACTGCATTAGAGATCATAATATTTCCCTACATAACATGGGTGTTGTGATGATAGATATATGGTAACAAAGACCACAGGAAAAACATCACCCTGTAGTTTTATATGTATTAACCTCTAACTTAATAAATAAACAAAAAGGCGCAGCTAGTGCCATATTGCAAGGTTTATAAGTATATGCTTAAATAATACAAAGGGACCTTAACCTTCCTTCCTCCAGTAGTGCTCCTGCCTCTGATCTCCAAAGGGCTGCAGTCTGTCAGTTGAGAGCTTCTGTCTGAGGCTTCTTTCTTTTCCCTGACTTTTGACTCTGATTTTCTGACAGTGCATGAATGATATGATGGCTAGTTTTCAAGACACGGTGTTTTTAAAGGGACAAAGGATATTATGCATAGGTTATGTGACTAAAAATATGATAAATAGGTACGTAGTATAAACATGATGTTGCAAAAATAACTTTCTTCATTTTTTTCCTTGTCATAGACTTGCTTGCACTTTCTTGTACACTTGAGTACTAGAAAGTTTTGTTGGTTTAGAAAGTAGCCATCAGTCTCATTTTCTAGTAGTTCCTGACATTTCCCAGCCCAGTATACAAAGCTTGGCTGCTTTCCATCTAATTAAAATGCAGAGTTTTTGAAAGGATACTAGCATGTCTGCTGAGATTTATGATAAATCTTAGCTAGCATTTCAGCAAGGGTTTCAGTTTCAGAAAATCCCATCTCATTACACAAAACAGGGCTGAATTATGAAAAAGTAGTGACAAAGTAAAAAGCTCTGTAGTAGTTATAGTAGTTCAGGGCGGGCCCCAGGACTTTCTTGCCTCTTAATGAAAGTTCACGGTGATCGAATGTTGACCTTTGATTCTTTAATGTTTTGTACAATAGTTGCGAGTTTTAGTTTTAATCTGTATTTTATGCAAAAAATTATATTTGTTATCATGGGACACTTATGCCTCACTAATTTTCCCCCAGGAAATGCATGTAATCCTAGTGAAGGATATTCAAGGGTGTTAGTTTTGGAGAGGAAGTCTGTTTAGCTAATTTCTGAATAAGATTTATGGACTAGCATGTTAAAATCAAAGTTATATAAGTAAAGAAAGAGTAATAAGTAGTTAATTGCTTTTTATAGCATAGCAGTTTACATGTTAACAGTCAGAAGGTCTAGATATCCAAGAACATCAGCAATTGTTACGTCTCTCCCACAATGTGTTGTTAAAAACATATTTCAAAAATTATGCATTTGGTTAATGCATTTTTTGAAATCATAGTAAATCTTGTATTGTATTTCAGTTTGTGTAAACAACTAAGTGTATCTATATTTCTTTATTCAGGTAACCAGTAAAGATACATCAAATCTATATGATTTGCTTACTTGTCAAACAGAAGTTGTATTTTCCCCCTGTATATTTAATCCTTTTTTAAATTTAATAGTAAATCATTCAATCAGCACAGCAGCTCTGAGTAATTTAAGGGGCAAAACCCAGTGCTGCTTTTTAAGGAATTATTTATCACAGTTTAACACAAACAAAAGTACTCCAACTACCGTGATCTGTTCTTTTAATAGGACTCTGCCTGTTTTAGTGTTGAGTTTATACCTTCTTCCATATGCTAAGCAATTCTCTGTTACATTTTCAAAAGGACATTATTTACTAAAAGTTAAAAGTACAGCTTATTAAGTTATAACATAGTTCACAAGCAGCACAGATAACTTCAAATTTTTTTCTATTCTTCTGTATTTCCTGAGCTTTATGTATAATGATAAGAGTTCTTAATAATTATAACAACTACTGCTTTTTTAAGAGTTGGTGCTCTTTAAGCCATTTTATCTATTCCCAGCTGACTATCACAGCAGTGGCCACACTGTTATTAATGGCTGGAAGATCCACAACACAGCAAAGAACAAATGGTTTGTATGCATGGCAAAAACCCCTGAAGAGAAGCAAGAATGGCTGGAAGCTATTTTGAAAGAGCGAGAGAGAAGAAAAGGTAGGTTAATAAACTTCCTTGTGTTGCTTTGCCAGAAAGCCATACTGTGTTTTTATGTTGAGATATAAAGCAAAACCAGCTGCTAGGCAAACTTGTGGTGTCAGGTTCAGCTGAAGGTTTATGAATACGAGCTTGGAAAAAAGAAATCAAACTTGCACTGGGAAGGGTATAATGGCTTGAATCATGTATGCTGGTAGTGAATGCTCTTTTGGAAATGGGTAGATGATTTCATCTATGATTTTACAGCTTATCCTCAACCAGTATAAATTGTCATAATTTCATTGAGGCCTGTGAACTTACTACGGTTTATGGTATATGAGGGACTATCCTAAATGCCTTTTGGGATTTGCATGCATTGATTCCTTTTTGTGACTGGACATTTGAATCACTGAAATGAGCAGGTCTTCTGTGTTGGATCTTCATGCAGATGAACCCAACATGAAATGGTACAGAATATACCTACAACCCCATCTTTGATGTATTCTCCCCTACCCAAGAAAGTAAGAAATCACCATTGGCAAACAACTATCTTTTTTGAATAACTGAACTAAGGTGGAAGAATACTTGGATGAAATATAATCCTGATCTCAAATGTGACCACGAATAACCTCATGTATTCAAGGTGAACCCAGCACAAAGTAGAACCAGGGAAAGATGACGCATCATAATCTTCTGGAGCTAATTTCATTTGCAAGCTGAAATATCCTAATCAGTAATGAAGTTTGGAGCCTTGGTATTGAAAGAAAATATGACCTTGTAGTTAGATCTGGGATTCTTTCCCTGGTCTGCGTAGATTTTCTGTCGCCTGTTGCAGTAGCTGTTGTTTTGTGCCTCCGTTGTAAATGGCGACTAACAATACTTACTTTGGTCTTTTAAAGTTGAATACTGGAAGTTTGTAGAACATTTGCCGTAGGATCAGAGCTTCAACTAGGGTGTTTGAGCACTGGCTAATTAATAGTGCCGTCAGGAATTAATAGCACAAAAGCTAAAAAGATGCCTTAGAGGTCTAAAAACTCAACATTTTAAAAATAGCAAATGAAAAGGCAATGTGGTAGAGATGGTGTCAAATACAACAAACCCCAGGTTTGTCTGCTTCTGTATAGGGCCTTGTCTGGAACTGGCTAAAGAGGTTTTTAACAAATCCCACTTGACTGTTAAGTTTCTTGGCTCCCTTAGACTCTTGATACCTTTAGGTAAGAAATAGAAAGAGTAAGTAGTATTTTATGTTGATGTGTTCTTACTATTTCATACTGTACTATTGAGCAGCTGGTAGTAGAGGTGAGTTTGAGCTAAACCTTGCCAAGTGTGAGGTCTGAGGTAGCCATCCCAAAGTCAAGGCATGTCTTAGGATTTTAGCATCCTATGATTCGGGGAAATTCTCAGCTCCTGGTGTTCTCAGTGGGTTTGCCACCAAGGAGACAACTGTGAAAGAAAGAGGTGAGGATTTGGTACACACTTGGACTCAGTTTGCAACACAGAAACTTCAAAAATATTTCTTGAATATCTCTGTTACTCTATCAACTTATAAATTTATCCATCTCCTCCAGAACAGTGATTTTTTTCAAAATATCTGTATAAGCACCTCTTGCAAAGCAGGATGCATCAACTTAATTGCAGTCAAGTTGCCAAATGACTCGGGAACCAAACGGCTGTCTTTTTAGAATGCAAATACTGTTATCTAAATGTAGCTGTAACACTTTCCCATTCAATGTGAACATAAAGATGCTTCAATTGTATGTTTACTTAATAAGACATGGAGCCTGTTCACGTGTGTATATATATAGGCAATTCCACTGAAGTTTTAAGTGACTGCACATGTGAGAACAGTGTTTTATCTCCTTTGCAAGTCTGAGACGAACTAAATCAAATGAACATACTTCCCACATCTCCTGGGCTAGGAGTGAGGCTCATGTGAATGACTCCCTCCTGGTTGTGCTGTGTGTGCCCGTGCATTTCTTTGTAGTGGTGCTGTAGACCCCACATCTCACACAGAATGGCAGATTGCAGTGATTTCCAGACTAGGTAGATACGGCATGTGGAGCAGGAGTGGCGCACGGAAATACAGCTTGAGTGTGCCGTGTAGTTGGGGCTTGCTGGGCTGTTTGTGTTGGGAGACTCAGAGATTCAGTGTACTCAGGGAAACTCAACCTATAGTTCTATTTTGAATCCATATAGCAGAAGTGGAGCAAAATGGAGAGAATGCCCTGAATGAAGTACTTCAGCAGAGATTTCAGCATTTGTAATTGAATTATTAACTAGGACCACTTTATAGATTGTATTTTCTTGCTAGGAGAAATCAAGCTGAATTGGAAGCTTTTTGCTAGGAGGTCTTTCTGTCAGTTTTGGGGCTTTCCTGTAACCACCTGAGGCATTCAGCAAGTTAGATATTTATTTAAAAGATGATCATCGTCAAGGCTGATGATGCTGTGATGACCTGATTCAAACAGTCAATACAAATAAAAGCATCAACATCCTATAAGCTCCAAAAGTAGTACATTAGTTAAGTTTTCTTTTCCCGGGAATACATCAGGGTTTATCTGTTTGTGTGATATCACCACTATCTGGTTCATGGATAATGAGACACACTCCTGTATCTGTGTCCAGTACCACTGTTAGCTTTTTCTCATGACAGGTACATTTTTTCTGGCTATATTTTCAGAATTAAAGAAGTGGCAGACTATTACTCAGATTGAATATGTACAGTTATAGTTTTAAAAATGTGAAAATCTGAACAGAAACTGAGAACATGTACACAAGACATTCTGGAAGTGTGTGTTTTTGTCCAGAATTAATAATTTTTTATTGAGAAAGCACATGGTATATGAAGGTCTGTGGTATTCCTTGGAAGCACAAGCTTCTGTGAGTGGCCAGTAGGATGCATAATTCAACAAAAACTGGTTTTGATCATCTGTTACTCAGAAAACACAACGATTTTCTCAAGAAGAGAAACAGGAAAAAATAAACCAGTAAGAAATATTGAAATAAAACCCTTGATAGCTTTCTGTTGTTGAAAAAAATTCTGAAGCAAATAAAAATCAAGTTTTGCATATGCTTTTGTGGAAAAGGGGTGAATTAATCTTATGTGAAAGTAACAGATGTATAACAGATAACTAGTTACTATTAATTGGAAATATGAAAAAGTTTCCTTTAAGTGAAAACATTTTTATTATCACACGGTAAGAGCAAAACCAAGGCCCTTTTCTTTTAAACCTATGAAGACATGAATACTCTCTTGCAAATGCTCATATACTGAAGTCTGAAAATCACAGCGTTAGTATTTATTACTACAATATCAATGGTGATGTCGATATAGTAACATTTAACTTCACTATGAGGAACTTAAAGGTAGCATTTGATTATGCTTTATGAAGATCAGATGTTCATGGTTTAATCTTGATTGTGAGAAAAACAATGGAAAACAGTTCCTTTACCTTTATTTGTATGTAAAATGCGGGTATTGCTTCTCCATTTTGGGGAAGATACTGAAATACAATGGCAGTATCACTTCATAAAATTTTAATGCGTTTTTGGCAGGTTTAAAACTGGGCATGGAACAGGACACTTGGGTGATGATCTCTGAGCAAGGAGAAAGACTGTACAAAATGATGTGCAAACAAGGGAATCTCATCAAAGACAGGAAGAGGAAATTAACCACTTTCCCCAAATGCTTTCTTGGAAGGTATTATATGCATTTTAATAGCATGAATTTTAACCAGCTAAAAACACATTTTAAATCTTCTTTGGGATTCTGCGGAAACCACGCTTTATTTGTAATGTCTGTTAGGCCTATTTGCCTCCCAGAATTCAGTAAAAATGTAAATTGGTCTGCCTGAAATTTATGGATGTGTATTCATATTCCAAAGTAGCTTTATTAAGGGGACAAGGCTGCAAAGGCATGTTGAAAATATGAAAATGCATCAAATAAAATTGTTTCTTTAAAGAAATAATTCCCAACTTGTTTAATGCATTTTGTCTCTGAAATGCCTAGTTTAGAGTATCAAATTTGCTTTATTCCACTTAAAAAAAATCTCTGTTTCTAAAACTGTTTATGTCCTCCTCTTGCCTGAATGTCAGGGACAGAGTTACTAAGTAAAGTTTACAGGTTAAAATTTACCCCCCTATTATCATGAGGATCTTTATAATGCCATACTATACCTATGGCTTAAGAAGACTGAATGCAAGAGGAAGAGAAAGCAATAGGTACCCTGAAAATGTGTATATGACAAAAAAATTAGTTTTGGGGACGGAGGGGTTATCACTTATTTCATTTGACCGTAAGACAGCTAAATGTGGAAAGTATTAAGTACAGTGAGTGTTTTACACAAACACGTTTTAGTGAAGATATGCACCACTGGGTTCAAAAGTGGAAATGAAACTTGGGAGATTTTCATGTGCCGTCAGAAGTCACATAGCTGATGAGAATTGAAACCAGGATTAAGATTAATGATTGAGTTGTGGTTGAATCATGTTCCCTCAGTGAAGTTGTTGGAAGCAGGTAAAGAATACGCTCATGGTGAGAAGCCATGTGTGAAACATTTAAACCTACCACCAAATGGCTGCTTTTCTATGCTATCTTTGAAGTGGACCCTTTTGAAGTACGCTTTTGCTCGTCCCTGGGTCACCAGTTAAAACCCACGAATGTGAGTGTTGCACTACCTCACTACGCTGTTCTTTTGATTTGTAACACACATGCAAATATCTTAGGTGCTATAAATTCGACGTCTCTGAACTGCATCAGGTTTATTGTGAAATAAGCCAGGCATTTCCTGCACATACACTATATACTTTGTGTATATGCTGAGGATGTCCATGTGTCTGACACGTCCCAGAAGTCTATCAGACTGCGATTATGTTCTGCCTTCACGGCATATCTGCCCTGGGCAGGTGCAGTAGGTATGCCTGGGATTGCCTTATATTTGACAGTCTGGTCACATGTGGCTATTCTACTTTAGGAAATCCCAGAAAACATGGAAATAGAATAGAATAGAGTAGAATATTTTCAGTTGGAAGGGACCTATAACGACCATCTAGTCCAACTGCCTGACCAGTTCATGGCTGACCAAAAGTTAAAACGTGTTATTAAGGGCATTGTCCAAAAGCCTCTTAAACACTGACAGGCTTGGGGCATCGACCACCTCTCTAGGAAGCCTGTTTCAGTGT